AGGGGTAATGGTTAATTTCTCCTTGTTTTAAATCCAAGGGGTTTGGATCTTGATTCACCAGGAGTTGGTGGGAGGAAGGAGGGGTAATGGTTAATTTCTCCTTGTTTTAAATCCAAGGGGTTTGGATCTGTATTCACCAGGGATTTGGTGAAAGGTTTCTCAAGGCTTCCCAGGGAGGGAATCCATTGGGAATGGTGGCAGAGGAACCAGAGCTAAGCTGGTAGTTAAGCTTAGAAGTTTTCATGCAGGCCCCTACATTTGTACCCTAAAGTTCAAAGTGGGGATACAGCCTTAACAGATGGCTAATCAGAAGGGCCATGTGATTTACATTAGAAGGTCAACCTGGGATGGGAAACCAACTTTACAGGAGAATAGCAGAGGTGGACTATAATATCTAGGCTGTGTGTGTTCTTGTTAGGGAATGGAAAGGCGCAAAAGCGAGGGGGGAGTGGGGGCAAAAGCTGAAGGGAAGGTTGAGCGGGGCCTTGTAGTGTATGTCTACAGTGCCATTAAAAACCCGCAGCTGGCCCATGCCAGCTGACTTGGGCTCATGGGGCTTGGGTGAAGGGTCTGTTAAATTGCAGTGTAGACATTCGGGCTTGAGCCTGGGCTCTAGCACCCTGCGAAGTGGGAGGATCACAGAGCTCGGGCTGCAGCCCAAGCCTGAATGTCTACACCACAATTAAACAGCCCTTCAGCCTGAGCACCGCGAACCCAAGTAAAAGTATGAACCAGCCACTGATGTCTAATTGCAGTGTAGACACACGTATAGTTTCATAGTGTTTAAGCCCAGAAGGGACCATGTTTTTTGTTTGTTTTCACCAAAAAGGTTAGTAGTGATTTTACATCTAAAACTTGTAAAAATTAAAAACTTCCTAACTGTCAGGGTGGTTAACCACTGGAATAAATTGCCTTGGGAGGTTGTGGGATCTCAGTCATTGGAGATTCTTAAGAGCAGGTTAGACAAACACCTGTCAGGGGTGGTCTAGATAATCCTTAGTCCTGCCATGAGTGCAGAGGACTGGACTAGATGACCTGTCGAAGTCCCTTCCACTCCTTTGATTCTATGATTTCAAATCATCTAGTTCAGAGTTTCCCAAACTTGTTTTGTGGTGCCCACTTTGGAAATTCATGCCCCATACATGTCCCCCTCACTGAGGCCAGGTCAGGGGTGGATGGAAGGAGTGCCCAGTCTGGGGATGAGAGGAGTGCCTCATACCCCTGGGGGACAGAGGTTGTACCCACCAGGTGACAGTTGAGGAAGCCTTCTGCTTCCTGTAACAGTCAGGCAGTCTCAGCTGCCTGGACCCAGCTCCCTGCCCATTTTGCTTCCCACCCCTTTTCAGGGAAAGTGAGTGGAGCTGCGCTGAAGGGCTGGGGATGGGAGGGGAGCGCAAGACTGCGCCCCTGAGTACTAGATCTCCTGCCAGACACAGCCCTCCTCCGACCCTTCAGTGCAGCCCCATCCACTTCTACTCAGGTTCTGTCTGGCAGGGGAAGCAGATGAGGCTTTGTGCCCTGGAGCTGCACTGAGGTCCAGAGGGAATGCTGTCTGGGCGTGGGGGAGGGGAGGTGGCAGTACTCCCATGGTCAGCCTTCAGCTTCCTGTTTGCAGAGTGCCTGCTGGCTTCCCCAGCAGAGGAGGGTATCTGCCAATTGGTGGCTGCTGCAGCAGTGGGGTAGACAGATGAGTTGGGAACCTGGTCCTGGCAGCTGAGCCCAATCGCACAGAGCCCTGTCCACTTCCCTGGCCAGAAAGAACCCCCTTCTGTCTTCGACCCTGGGAGGTCCTTGAGCCCCCAAAATAATCTTGTTGCATGTTCCCCCATTTGGGAACCTCTGATCTAGTCTGACCTGCATCCACCCAGGCCATTACATTTCATCCAGATGCCCCTGAGTTTAATGACTTTAGTTAAGCTACAGCTTTTCAGCCCTCCGGGGACTGAACCATTGTATGCCATGGGTGAGAACAAGAGGGTGTGACTTCTTTCACTTCTGATGAGCACAGTTGTTTTCTGTCACTTAATGAACAACATGAGGATGTGCAGGCTAGCTTTTGAGTGCCCTAAAGCTTAATTGTACCATAGGATTTACTTTTCGTGTGTGTGGGGAGGGAAGAAACCATAATGGCTCTTAATTCAGTGTCCCTTTCTAACAAGTTGTGCAGTATGGCAGGAGGTGAGAGACAGTTTCTCAAGTAGGCCAGTCCAACACTGTTTATGGCTCCTTGGTATGCAACAAGCAGCTTGGAGGCTTCATTCAGCCTTCCAGACTGCACTATCTGGCCTACACGTCTTGCACAAGCACTTACTGAACTGTGACTAACCTTGGAGTTCGTGTGTAGCAGCATTACTGTGACTGGGAATGATGGGGGGAAAAAAAGAAAAGAAAAGGGGGGTGAGGGGTGGGTGGGTAGTGGTGGTAACACAGAAATCATTATTATGCTGGTGTTCTTCCAACACTGATGCTAAGAACGTGTTGGGTATTGCATTAATGGGGACCTCCGTATTTCTACTATTGAAGCTGACCAGATCCTGGGGGTACTGGCTCTGGTGTGGGGCCAGAAATGAGGAGGTTCAGGCTGGGGAAGGGGGTTGGGGTATGGAGGGTTGGGGTGAGGGCTCCGGCTGGGAGTGCGGGCTCTGGGGTGGGGCTGTGGATGACGGGTTTGAGGTGCAGAAGGGTGCTCTGGGCTGGGACCGAGGGGTTCGGAGGGCAGGAAGTGGATCAGGGCTGGCGCAGTAGCAGGTCGGGGTGCAGGCTACAGGCGGCGCTTACCTAAAGCAGCTTCCGGAAGCAGTGCCATGTCCCCGCTTTGGCTCCTAT